ACATTGAAAATCAAATCAAGAAAACGACTCTGACACCGGTGGGCGTAGCTCAACTGGTAGCAAGGAAGTGCCACAAGGGTTAGGTCTCGGGTTCGAATCCCGGCAACTGCGATGAGGGGTTACTATGCTGAAAAATGCATAGGGCCTCTGCAAGTACCGGAGACAGAGCCTCACTCTCTATCTGTCAGATTGTGATTATAGTCCAATTTACATCCTCCCATCGTGCCGTCCGGTCGGTGTTGGGGGGCCCTCAGGGATGGGGTGTCATCCTTTTTTTTTTAAGAAAACGACTCTGACAAAGAACATTTTTCTTTCATTTGACATTAATATTTTAATATGTAAATACATTTAACACACTAATAACTTTATTTGTTACGTCCCAAAATGATTTGCAAAGTCAACTATTATCGGTTAACACAGTTTCATTTTATTAACTAATTTCGGATATCAAAATTTAATTATTTTCTAATTTGAAGTTTGTGAATTTATAAAACTTTCAATGTAGTTTCTGAATATGTAAACTTTAACTATTAAAATTGGTTTAACTATGGGTTTTTTACAAGAATATTATTAAAATAAAACTTATTTACATAAATATGACTATTCATTACTACAACATAATATTGTAGTAACTTAAGTTCAAAACTTGAACATGAATTACTATGATTTCATTACTACTCTAGTAATGAATCATATTTTTGTAAATCGTCTTTATTTTGATCATATTTATGTAATTATTTCTTTAACTATTAATTTTATCGTTGGTCAAATTTAAAATCCGTAAATTGTAATATAATTTGTGAAGGAAGAAGTGTATAAATATATTCCCTATATATTGGCCTATTGGGATTGTTGTAGATTATAGTAGATTATAGTTAAAATGCATTTAATGCATGTCATTGAAAAACTAATTATATGAATATCATTATTGAAGAATAATTTTAAGTTTTGAAATTATTCAAAATTTAATGCGTAAGAATGATGTGGCAAATATGTGTACTAAAAAATCCGTTTATTTGGATAGCATGAATGGAGATGCTCTTAATTCATATTAATTATAGCGATTGGCTAATATAATTTAATGCAAAGTTGTCAATTGGCTCGAGCATTGCACGGTAGAATTCGCTTGAAAAGTAATTATATTCGTTTGACATGTAATGCATTTTTTTATTAAATCAAATTGAAAATATAAAAAAGTGTAGGAAATAAATAATTATATTCATAAGTAATGAACAATAAGGTGATGTTACATTTAAATTTAAGATTATGTAGATAAATTTATGAATAAGGATGACATTTTTCACCAAATGAAAGATAAAATAAGGAATAATGGCAAATATATTACCGCTAAACTTTTAGAAGAGAAACATATAACTACATTTAGGATTTTCAAAAGTATGTATATTACCTTTTTTATATTAATACAAAAATTAAGAGAATGATTTAATTAGTAATTCTTTATTAGTTAATGTAATAACATTTTTCATAAAGTGCAATTAGTAATCAAGTGAACTTATTATATTCATGATTTTCAACACTTAATTAATTAGTCATATATTAATTTCACATCTAGTGCAACTTAGAGCATCCACAATGCTAATGGCATTTGAACCCCTTGTCTCTCTTCCACATCATTCCCCCCCCCCCCCCCCCCAAAAAAAAAAAAAAACTTAATCCCCCCTAACCTATCTCATTTTCTCCCCACTATGGTGGCCTAGATCACTTAAAATTTTAACACTCTCTATCCTTAATTTTTATATATTCCACCATTATTAATTTATTTAATTTGAAAAAGGAATACTCCGTATAAAATCCACATTTGACCCACTGTAATTATTTATTGTGAAAAAATAAAAATAAACATATTTTAAAAAAATTGTTACATGTCCTTAATTCAGAGGAAAAAATGTTCTAAAACAGATAAAATAAGATGTAAGAAGTAAAGAAATGGCAAATTTTGAAGTAACTAAACATATCATTCATTGATGTCTATGTTTAGGGGAAAAAATATAATTTTTTGATATAATTTTTTTACTATAAATTAAATTTAATGCATAATAAATGAAATTAGGGAGTTAGGGGTAGTTGATGAGGTTGGTTCAAAGTAAAATGCCACTTGGCTTTCTCTAATTGGTTAGTCACAAATAAGTTGCCGATCACTTCATGACCTCTCATAGTGGGGATCAAGTGGGATCAACTATTGTTTTATCTCCAGTGACCTCCCATAGTTGATGCTCTTAAGACTTCTATGTGGCTGATAAATAATATTCAATCTGGATTTCCACGAGATTATGTTTATATATATATATATATACCTCAACGTGAGAACACCACATTTACCCCAAAGCATTGCACAATGAAGCTTGTATATTGCACTTTTTCACATTTTCACAATATTTACCAAAATGCCACCGTGTTTATTTAATTTAGGCTTAATTTTAGAAAATTGAAAATGTGCAACAGAATAGCTCCATTGTGCACCACATTGATTCAAATGTGAGTGTTATCACGTTCTTACGTTAAGCATCGTTCTAACTGAAACCCCACCCTATTTTTTTTTTTTTAACTCCAGGGGGTCTGGGGGGCCTGGAGTAAATTGGACTGAAACTCACTCCATTGAGTTTCGAACCTGAGACCTCCCATGGAAAGAGAGTGGGGCTCCATGTCACTACTAATAGTGGCAGAATTTCTGCCACTAAACTCTGCCTCTATATTGCAACAGAAATGTTGATCCGCCATAGAAGCTTTTGGTGTCAAGATTTCAGTGGTAAAATTTATGTCACTAATATCCATCACTAGGCTTGTTAGTGGCCGATTTAGTATAAAAAAAGCGTGATTTCTTGTAGTGTATAAAAAATTATATTTGAAAAAAAAAGTTTTTTTTTTCTCAAAGCAAGACTATTTAAAGTATAAATTTTTTTAGTATAAAACAATGATGATTTTACTTGTGCATTTTGTTTATGTTTGTCCTATATAAGGAGTTTCTATTTAATTTGATTAACATGATTTCAATTTTTAAATATAAAACTGCTAAATATAAGTTTAAAACATAGACAAAATTCAAAAATAGGATTAAGTATATCTTATTTCCCTTGAATGACTTATTTAGAGTCATAGTAAAAGAACAAGTTAGATTAAAATTTACCAAAATATGAGTGAATGAATTTAAATTTGTAAATAAAACAATGATAGTCGATTTATAAACTTGTCCATATTTTGACCCTATGTAATAGCAAGGATATAATTGCATGACTATGCTCATTAAAACATTGGACATTTTGAGTTATCTCATGATGAGATATACGATAGTATGAAATTAATTATGACGACGTCGAGTACGCGGGCATATCTTTTACATGCTTTACAGTTCCATTATAATTTTCTCTTTACAGTTTAGGTACATGTGTATATATATAGGCACATATTCAAATATGGTAATTACTAGCTGTTTTAATGTGCTTAAATTAAATTTACTGTTGAGTAACGACCGCCAAGGTGTTGTCGAGATATCTAGCGTAAAGCTTGACGGTGGTGAGCAACGGGAACCCCACCCCGAAATCATCCAATGCGTCCCCGCAGTCGCTGTGTAGGGCGGCGCTCAGGCGGGTCATCAACGTGCCGTTGTCATTTGCGTCGAGGGCCTTCAATGACAGGTTCAAATCGTCAACGGCTTCCTCAAAGCTCTCATTGCATGTCTGTACAATAGAATCCTTCGACTCCGCTGGCAGGTCCGCCACGGCGGAGATGACAGCTCCGCTCATGGCCTGGATTTTCTTGGCCAAGGTGAGGGTGGCCTGGATGGCGTTCACGGAGGCATCGTGGAGGCTCGTGGCATCGCCCACCATCCGGGTGCAAAGCCGTTTGCTGCTGGCGGTGTTACAGAATTTGCTCAAAGGTGACCCGCTTTTGAAGGGGGGGAGGAAGGCATGGGTGCCGTCGCAGAGGAGGAGGAGAGCGGTGGCTAAGGCCAGAACTGCCGCTACTCTTTGAGTCATCTTTTCTCGATCTTGTGACGTGACTTTCCAGCGGCGGGCTCTGAAAGAGGAGGGCTAATTAACTAATTAACCTGAATATATATACCGGTTAAAGTTTCTTCTCCTTCAGTGCCTCTTACCTTAGCTTAGAGAAAAGGTTGGGGAATATATATAAAGCTAAGGTTGGGTTTGTGAGAAGGAACGAATTGATATATAGGGCAGCCGCTCATATGAACCCAAGATTTTAGTCCTATAAAAACGGACGTTCATTCACAAAATTGACGTTTGTTGTGGCCTAAATGATCGCCTGGCATGAAAAATCCTGAGGTTCTCCATCCATAGTTCGAAAAAAAATTGGTTAAAAGTTAAAACTACAAAATAGTGAATGTAAAATTGAGGCAAATTGTGAATGTAATGAACTATCTCTTTGCTCTATTATACTTCAGTTACGTTTATTATACTTCAATTTCCGATATTTATTACAAATAGCATCTATAGTCTACACTTTATACCCCAACTGCCTATCATTTTCTTCTGATGCGTTTCAAAATTTTCGATCGCAACCAGTGAAAGAAAGACAAGTATAACAAATTATTTTGATCGCAACCAGTGAAAGAAAGAAGTATAACAAACCCATGACTAAATAATCAACAACGAAATCAATATGAAAAATAAACAATGGTAAAGTCCTGAAGAAGTGCCTGGCGTGAGTTGAAATAAACTTGTCGCTATGCATGGTAAAGCAAAGTCAAGTATGCATGTCACCAATTCAATACGATTTGGTCAATGACCAACCGCTAACATTGCGCCAAAACATTGCGCCAAAACATTGCGCCAAAATATATACATAAAACCTAGTATTTTTCAATAATTTATTTAGCTAACTTTCCGATTCAATTTTAAGGTGAAATTCGGTGAGCATAATTTACATTTCATGAGGAACATGCTCACAAAATTTCATAAAAATTCCAACCGGAAGCACTTCAAATGGAGGCAGCCGGACAATAGTTCTTGTCAGACCGGCCTGACGAGATCATTCCTCAAGTTGAAATTATTTACAAAGTATATGCCACTTATTCATTAAAACACTAGTCGATCCATATTTATAGTATGTTTTATTACATGATTTAAACTACTCGACATATTATTATGGATTAACGTATGATTTGCTTGTGATTTTGGCATGGAAAGAAATAAACAAATGGAAGTCATAAAGTACGAACAACCTTGGAATGTCTAGAGCTTATCCATCCATGGCTTCCAAGAAACCTGTATCAATATATGACAAATAAATACAGATCTTTTGGAGTGGCTAAGCCAGAAAACACTCGCCTTTTTTATATTTCGGACGGGGTTTGAATCTAAAATCATTGCACTCACAGATTGTAGAAATTTTAAGCATAAACAAAGAGCAACAGAAGTTAAGCCTAATTATTAAGCTATTGTAGGAGTGTTAGTCACCACCACGACCTGTTTATCGGTGCTTGCAGGTGGCATCACAACAAGAAGAGCTTGCAATGGTGTAAACGCAGCTAACGAACAGAAATTTTAAAATGACCACTGCTGCTGCTGCACTTCAGTCTTCCGATCAGCAGCAGCTAACATATTCCAATGCTTCAAACAATCTGCTGGTAAACGCAAGCAGTAGCAATTTGAGCAGCACCTCTAATTTCAAATTCACTGGACAACGCCTATTTCACACTGTTTGGTCTCATCGTTCAGCTTTCCATCCTTCCTCCCGAGAGGAAGAGAGTGAACAGATGTTAAGCAAATAAGCAATGTAATGCATACATATCTTTCATGCAAAACAGATTTAGGCGCTGTTTAATCATGGAAAATGTTTTATACATATAACATACTCCGTAATTTTTAACAAAAAAATACTGCTTTAGAAAAATACTTCTTTTCACATGTAAATAAAGATGTCAGGGCGGTTATGTGCAATGTGGTGCTGGCAGACAGCCTTGTCGTCTATAATAAATTATAATAATACTCCGTATAAAATATAATAATGACTAGTTGATTATTGTTTTAATTCAAAACACGATTTTCACACTAAGTACATATTTCCAATAAATGAAACTCTAGAAACTTTAGCAAAAAACATTAAAGTGATTCATGTGGTTGCTATCTACAGAAATGAGAGAGAAAATCATAAAGAAACAACTTAGCTAGAAATACATATTAAGTATATTAAGATAGTATAATGATTAAAAGAGAAGAAACCAAGAAGAAAATGAAAGAACAAAGGCAAACTTGGTGGGCGGCAGTTTATCTCGAGTTCTTTTTCTCTTTACTCCATTTAGATTTTTTCTTTTTCAAGTCTGATGCTGCTACTTAAAATAGAAGAAAACGGGCTGGGAAGTCGATTCAAAAGGATTTGTGAAAAATTAATTATGGACATAGCTATGAACACCTATTCAACATCCACGAAACATCATTCAATCCTAGCACTCTTTAGACGAGGCGACCGACCATGGAGAGTGCTCTCCACTGTACGGACGCCTACGCATCATCACCATGATAACTATGTATCGACATTTGCATAACATCATCCAGAAAGGTTATTAATTGCCTAAGAGAACGCAACAAATTATATGCAAACGATTGCAGATACGAAACTGAACTGAACCTTATAAATACCAGGCATGGAATACCAAAAGAAATGTAATTCCTAGCACAGAAACCTCAAAAAAAATGGATGCTAAAATAGGAGTAGATAAGGGAAGGTACACATGTAGTTTTGGGTACCTTAAGAACAAGGAAGACATTTTGTAGGCATTGTTTAGATGTTAATCTTCTTTAGAGAGTTGCCATACGTATAGCTGGAGAAGGATACAAACAACTTACGAAACCTGAAAGCGAGAGCGAAATTCTTTACATTTTATCCATATGTGCTTTCTCATTTAACAATACTACTTTTTCACACAAGCACCAAACAGATGTTTTCCTAGATGGCCATTAGAAGCGTTTTTTACTATCAAAAGCATTTTACATTTTCCTGCCAAAATTTATTTTGAAGTGGAAATACTTTTCTTCCTCTGCAATACAATTATATCCCTTCGAAAATAATCTACCCAAATCGCACTCTATTTTTTGCAACATTACATACCAAACCCATTGGCTCAGGTGTTGGGCCATTGCAGCATAGCTTCTACTAGGGTTTTCATTGATCAAGAAATATACTTTTTCATTGCGATGAAACTTGACATACAAGAGAGAAAACCAAACATCTACTGGTCCGATGTATTTGCGGAATATATTAGTGCTCACCTGTAAAACTTAGTATAGAATCGTGAGAAGTATATAGCCACAAGTGCAAAAGTGATATCATCCTTGCCCCTTGTGATATGAATTAACAACATCTATGCATTTGGAGAACTTACAAGCTCCCACGCTTCCACATTTTTGTATGAGACGTCCTGGATAAGTTTTCTGCCATGTGCAAAGCGAAAAACATTAGTACTAAATACTAATGTAGTTAGCGAGAAAAAACACACAGTACACATAAAATAAGATCGTGACACCAGTAGTTAAAAAGCATTTGAACATGTATCATGAATGCTCGGTTAAGTAGTGTTACTAAGTAAGTAGTGTAATGACAATGACTTTAAAACAATATTCCATAACAGCTTGGATCAACTCACCGCACACCTCGATTCAAATCACAATGATTACAATGACCAGAAACACCATATTTGTCAAAACTAATTACCTGTGCATGACAAAATGGTCATATAATCAATTAAGAGAAAAGATCTATCAAAATTCAAAAGAAGTAAACATGTGAAAAGATTGAAATGAAAAAAGTTTCACTAAAAACAGTGTTGTACTTGAAACATAAAAAGTGTCTGTCACACAACTTTGAAACAAGCCGTCCCAATATTATTACACATTTTGACTGGGCAACAAGAAATTTATGAAAGTAAACCTGCGCGCTTAAGATTTATTTTGTAAGAGAGAAATATTGTTACTCACATATTGGTTTCTTTAAAAAAAAATGGGAAATAATTTTTTGACCAACAAAAAAAATGAAGTCCAAAGATAATTTACGGACAAATGGAGAAATTCTTCTTAAACTTTGTATTAAGCTTGTCCTTCATTGGGAAAAGTATCAAATAGACCCTCATACCTAAAAACAATCAATCAAACTCATAAACTTAATAAAAAGTCCAAATAACACAGTCATCTACTGGTTTTCAGGTTACTCTGCTGATGTGGCTGCTCGCTTGCCCCTCTTTTTACACTTATCATGAAATTCATGTTTACTACTATTCTACTACCAAGCCAAAAGGATCTAGAAACAACACTTTTTCACTCAGGTTACTAAACTAAAAAACAGAAGACCGAGAGACACAAGCTGCCTTAACCCATTCCATTACCACCATGCCTGGATAAGCAACTTCTCAAAAGGAAAGTAGAATAGAATATGTGTAGCCTATTCTAAATAAGCTCCTTTTTGCCTACCTAATAAGTCCTCCTATCTATCCCATTGCTAGCCTTTAGAAGTCCTTCTCCCAGTTGTAGTCACTAATTTCCAACCCCCTCCTGTTGGTTTACAAAGTTTCCATCTTTTGCATAACTCAAGGGTTCAAGTTCAGGTAGACTTTCACCAGTCATATGTGGGAGTAAATACAGGCACAGAAGATAACACAAGTTGCACAACTACAAGTCCGCTATACGATGCCAACCTTGACATTTTCAAGGCACTTTTCAAGACCAATATTAGGGATATTGTGTCCCCAACGATCAACTTCTCGTTTTAGGTTCTTCCATTTTCACAGATGCATTTGCTTGGATATATAGCAAAATGGTCACATGCCACTTATTAACCACAGACACCCTAATCACCACCGTTGCATTTGGAACTGAAGTCTCACCATCGTCCCCACCCATCTCCTATGCTCATCCCTAAATCTTCTAGGCCGCATTAGTAACTTCCGATTTGCATAAACAGATCACAAGATTTCAACCGGAATGGGAAATTTAAACTGAAATGCTGAATAAAAAAGAAATAAAGAATTGAAGATGGTAGAAGACAGTAGAAGGAGACTTTGGGAGATTTAGAGTAAAAAACGGTAGAGTGAGGAGACTTTATAGTTAAAAAATTGGAAAGAAAAAAGTAACAAAGAGTACCACATGAGTAGCCACACAAGCAAGGTAACTGGGACTTTGTAGATCAACTATTAGATCTCCGTTTTGAGATTTTTTTAAAGTTTATGGGTTTGATTGGGTGAATATTGAGTCGGAGGGTTTAATTGACTTTTTGGATATACTACGCAAGCGTATTTTGCAGTTTTCCCTTCTACATTACTGAATATCAAAATTGCAAAAGAAATCTATAATTTGTGAATAGAAGATGTGCTGCTATCTAATTTACCATCAACTTTATGCTTGGAATTGGTTTGAAGCTCTAAAGGCTAATTCCCCTTTAAAATTACTAACCACATCAACAGAATGGCTGTCTACTTCTTCTTTCATAAGTCTTGCCAACAGATCTGTGTTCCAGAATTTGCCAAAACCATCCTAAGGCATCACAATGAACAACTCTGAGGACTGTCCGAATGATGCTAAGAGGTTTCAAATTTTGAAGAACAAACCTCCAAATCTGGATGGTCCAAGATCTTTACATGTTGTGGAGATACCTGAGTAAGGTAGAACTGATCAATAAAATGTGCAAAGGTATATCTTCAACTCTTCAGAATCCTTCAACAAACACACTTAATTATGGTAACATACAACACAGATGAGGTACAAGCATGAAATAAGGCCAAACAAAGAGTGATACTAGTTACGCCTCTACATTTTACTCATTTTTATCCAAAGATTACTCAGCACCATTGGTGCCCTTAGGTGTTGTTTGGTAATACGCTATGAAATGTAAAGTAATGAATCAAATGAAATGTGTAATGTAAATTATCACTAAAATGAGTAATTTATTACATTTACCATCATGTGCTATTACCGGTCTACCAACGGTGCACCTTGGGTCGGCTTGGATGAAGGATTTGCATGGCCTAGCCTATAACTTAATATAATATTGGGATTTTAAAAAATGAAAGATGCCGTGTATAACAATCAAATAACCATTCTTTCAGGAACATTCTATTTATCAAGACGTAGACAAAACTCTCCAAATGCCCCCCAAGCCCCTTCAAAACCTCCCATCCAAACATACTGTAGGTATAGGTATTGATAGAACTTTAACCTTAAAGCACTAATGATGCCCAGTAAACTTAAGATAAGTTCCTCAATATCTGAGAGGCAGAACTAAACAGTCTGAATGCATACGTGTTGAATTTCTTATTACATTAAGGGTTGTGGCGGCCCGGTAGAGCTCTTGTTTTCTTGTATTTCCCAAGCCATCCGCATTGCCTACACACCAACATAAACCTCCATTACACACCAATACCAAAAGATAGGTTTTCTTCCATTTTTACTGGAGCAAAAGGTTCTGACTCATTCCATGTAAAAGAAATGATCTTCTCACCTCAGAAATTAAACATATTTGCTCTTTCTTCTTTCCAAATTTAGAAAACGAAAAGCGGAAAGCATGTTTGCTTCACTAATTTCAAAACTTAGAAAACAGAAACTGGTAAACATCTTAAAAGTTATAACAATCACCTATGACAACTAGGACTACCCACATATTCCATCAACGGCAAGCCCTACCAGTGATCTTACACCGCCGCCTTTGGTGCCCCTTACCTACTTACCTTACCCACCCTCGTGAGCCCTGCTAACACCAGCACATTCTCTAGGAAAACCACCACCGTTGCTACAATCAACTATCGGAATAACTAATAGACACGACCGACGAAAACTAGCACCACCCCTGACCATTGCCGTCACCGGTGATCATTGCCAACACCCATGACCGTCACAAGAATCGCTGTGATCAGTGGCCACTGGCAGTGCTAACCACTGCTACCATCGTCATTCCTAGCAACCATTGCCAATGTCAATACCATCGTCATCGCCTATCATCACAAGTTCACAACTACAACTGACAGCCACCATACGACCACTACCACTGTCATCGATCACTAGCACTGACCACCACCACCAACCATTGTCACCCTCACGTGGTCCCAACACCAAATATATGATATTGAAATATGCGTTGGTGAAAACATATATTTCAAATTAGAAAACATAAAATAGAGAATGGAAAAATAGTCATTTATAATTGATACATAGAAACATAAAATTGAAAAAACCAAAAACGAAAACAAAAATTGAAGTTAATGGAATTTTCCAAGAAAAATAGAAACTCTTCAAGTCAGTAAAGGGCCCCTTAGCTTCTTTAACTTCTATTATAAGAACGGAATATTCTTTATGAGCAGTAGTAGTTACAGGTGTAAATTATAACATATTGAGAGAAAGTCTCAGAAGAAAAGCAAACCACGATATCATTCTTCTTTACCAAATTCAGCATAACCACTGCCTAATCATGGCAAAAAAGAGCACTACAACAAAAATATACCATTAATCCATGATGCATATAAATTTCTACCTTAGTTGTGCATCTTAGGTGAGCAATTCTGAATTACCTAGTTGCAACTGTTACTAACAAAATATAAAACTAAATAAGATCACACATGTTCCTCTATATCATTGGAAAGTAAAAACTAAAAACACATATGGCATATAAATGTAGCATAGAAATGGATAAACAACCTAATTCAAGGACTACTGGGATGAACATCAACCTTGCCTAGCAACTAGATCACAAATCTCACGTCAACGCTGCGAAAGTTTTGACATTAACTTTATGGAGAGAAAACAGTTACTGAAAGCATGCATATGACTGAATTTGAAAGAAGTAAAAAACTGAAAATGCAGTTTCCAACAAGTTACAACCACCTTTTGATGTCATTGTGGTTATATTTCATATTGTCAACTCATGCAAAACAATAGCACTTACATAATTATTAAACAATGTCCATGAAAAAATGCTAGGTGAAATTCTAGTGAGTCCGAATAGCACCTCTATCTAACTATTAACCAGTTAGCATACATAGCAAAGGTTATTAAACGTGATAGCATCTCACCCGTTGATATGCATAAAATTCGCAAATCGTGCCCCTTTGACATTAAGTAATTGATGGTTGGAGTAAAGAACCTGAAAAATCAAAGATCCAAATTCCAAAACAAATTAATCGCACACATTATATAAACTTGAGCAAGAAAGTTGGTGTCGGTTAACTTTCTGCCATTATATGTAACTTCAGAAAACTGAAGATGTAATGGTTGTTTCTGGCTATCCTCAAAGGCGGAGAAATCCTGTTTTTAGGGTGTATCTTGGTGCGAGCATTTTTTATTCTCTCAGGTGGGAAAAGTGTTAATTCCGAGTAAATATCTGAGGTGGTCTTTGGGTGAGTATAGCATATGATGATAATCAACGTTACATAGATTCATCATCAGGATGTGCGATAACCAACAAGATTTTTTTCTTCAGAAAAAATCCACCTGAATAATCAACAGAAGAAAAAAGAAAACCACATCACAATTATAAAGAACCTCATACAAATCCAAACATAGTTTTAGAGCTGCTTCCATCTTACCATCATCTAAAAACATAGACTTGGAGTCAGACACAAATACATGAAGTGTTTTGCAAAGAGAACCAACCCAAATAACAGTCAACGAAACAATGATCAGCACCCACTCCATTCTCTTTTTTCTGCTGGAATATTAGATACCAAAAATCCGCTAGTCGCAAATGCAGATCTTGAATCACCTGTGTAAAAACAATTTTCCACTCCTATTATTAGTTTATTACCAACTAGTCTCTAACCCGTGCGTTGCCAGGGATATAAGCTAATTAAAATTTGAATATATATTTAGTCAAAAATTCTTTTTTGACCTATTTACGGAGGAAGTATTATATATAACTGTCACTAGCTGGATGGTCTCTGGCGGCGGCGGTCACCCACGACGTCTGGTCATGAGTGGAGTAGGTGTCGCTGCCACCGGACAAAGTATGGTGTCACTGTCATTGGGCAAGACATAAATGTCATATACGTCTCATTTTTATCACTTTTAAAATGGGTTTCTTTTTTATCCAAAACTTCTATTTTAGTAATATCGGTGGCAAAACCCTTATATTTTGTAATAATCACTTACTTTTCTTAGTGATAATAGAGGCTCACTCTAAAAATAAAAGATCATGGTGAGACTAGACACATTATATGTCTCCACAATGGAGCCTTAAATAATACTCCCTCCGTATTTTAAAGATTGCTACATTAGCTTTGGCATACTCCCTTCGTATTTTAAAGTTTGCTACACTTTCTTGTTTACGATGTATTTAAATGTTTGCTACACTCTCTCGTTTTGTTAAGTTTTTCCCTTAAAGAAATACTCAATTACCCTTACTTTTTTTACTTTTTATCTTCTCTTTCCTACTTTTTCTACACTATTCATTGCACATACTATTTCCACCTTAGGCTAAGTAAAAAGTTTTTCCCTTTATCTCACATTCATAATATTTAGGCTAAGTAAAAAGTTTCTTTTTTTTGTTTAAAGCCAAGACCTATTTACACTACATATGTTATTACCAATTAAAAAATGGACATGTATTCAAAAATTCAAGAATCGGACTTCTAAATGCAAAACATATTAATTTTTTAGTTAGATTGTATAAGAAAACTCACATGTACAACTGGTGTGTTTGAACACATTAGTCAAAATTACAGCTCCTTTTATCTATATAGTTGAAACAACACGTACTTACAGTGCTCAATCCGGACATGGTGGTAGATGAGCAAAGGAAATTCAGATTCATGTTAAATAATCGAAGAACGTTTGAGAGTTTAGCGGAATAAGCTATGGCGGCTTTGTAGACTTTAAGCAGAGTTGGAGAGTTTGGCAGGGAGTAGGCAATGCTTTGTGGACTAACGCAAGTGCCCTTAGAATCAGGCAGGAGAGACTCACTTAGTTGACTTAATAATATATAGATTTTCAAAATAAGCCACACTTTCAAAGTAACTGTTATCTATGTTCTAGTTTGAATATTATTCTAAAACCATTGATGAACCATAGTACAACACTAATATTAGAAGAAATGAGTTTATATTAACATACTGACCGAGTAATCAACAAAATTTAAACCTTTGAGTTGCGAATAGGAATCCTATAATTAGAGTGGGAAAGAGTGGAGCAGAGCATTTTAGTTTGCTTGTCTGCTTCAGCAATCGGAAAGGGCATTACTCCATTTATATGAGCAAACATCAAGATGTTATGCAGAAGTGGTTTTCTCATTAATATTTTCTTAATGAGCTGCTTTACTAAAACTCTAGAAAACCAAGAGCCAAAGATAATTGCCGAAGTAACATATCATTCTTCTCTGGTTAAGAAAATGCATTCTTCTCTTTTGATCTTAATATTTTTGTGTTTAGAAATCTTAGCCCGAGCAAGCAGCACAAAATTATATAGAAATATGCACTACTTCCTCATTTGAATAATTCAATTAGTTCAGAACACATACTACACAACCATATTTAGGCAGCTGAACAGGTCCCCTAAATTATATCTAAATATATACTCGTATATATATTTCAAAACAAAGTAATTGCAAGAAAAGAAAAAATTGCAAGACAAGAAAAATGGCATATTTTTACTTGGAATCTTCTCTTCTAAATATAAGACTTTAAACCATACACAATAATGGTTTAAGAAGAAAAATACAGAAGTGTTTTTTATCATTAATCATTTTCTTAACGATATGCTCTATAGCCAAAGAAGGATTAAAGAAAAAACATATCTTATAGCCCCAGATTAGAAGTAATTGATAAAGAGAGAAAACTAATTTCAAATATTAGAGAAGTGCATTTTTCTTATATAAAGGAAAAAAAGACAACAATTACGGAGTATTATAGAAGAGAACTACGAGAAGTGCAGTGTTCTCTTTTGATATTTTCATTTCTGTGTTTCGAAACCAGTCCATACCGACATGAGTATACAGTGAGTCTAGTAATATACAAATCGGATATATACAAATTGGATCTTAAACATGAGCATATATACTAACCTGATAAGTGATAATCAATGAGTATGTTAGAAAGGAGCTTTGAGCGATCTCTAAGGAATCGGCAGGATTGTGTGAAGAATTCGATTTTTTGTTTCGAAGGGTTGGTTGTATTGTAAAATCGTGCGTGAGAAATTTGGGAGATTTCGAGTTTGTAAGTGAGAATGGAGCAGAGGATGAAGCCGAGAATGGGTGAAACGAGCCTCTGAGTTCTGAATAAGCTTTGTTTAACCCACCAAAAGTCCAGAGCAAATTGATTTTAAATTGATTTTAAAATCACTCAGAGCATCGGTTAATTTTAATTTTTAAGGAATAAGCTTTGTTTACCTGGGTAGGATTAGGGCTGGGCAAAAATACCGAAAAATCGGTATACCGCACTTACCGTGTCGAAAAATACCGGAAAATACTGGAATATTGGTATAACGTCATTTTTGGTACGGTATCATACCGTACTGATTTATTTCGGTACGGTAACGGTAAATGTTTTCAAATACCGCGGTATACCGGTATAATACCTTACCGACTCCCTACCCAAAAATTACTTTAAATTCTAAAATATTGTAAAAGTCCATTACAATTTTGAAGCCTAAACTTAATACTTAGGTTGGTTACAAATATTAAAATACAAAAATAAAGGTCTAATTTCTCAAACTCACTATAACCTTCTAGGCTTCTATTACGTAACATTCAAATAAACTACCCTAATGACTAATGAGAAATGTACTAATGTCTAGAAACAAGTCCGAGTGTGAGCCGCTGATGAGTGTATCTACGTAGGGATTCCGCGAGTGAAAACATACAACTTTGTCCGAAAGTCTTATTTAAATATTTTTTAAAAATTATAAAATGACTAAATACACAATCATATTAGGAATAAATGATTCTATATCCATATTGTTTGAAAAAAATTATTTATTTTTGTTAGAGGTCACTATTGATTTAATTATATCTATATTATTCAAGTTATTTTAGAAGAATGTATTATTTTTTAATACGTGGCATGTTGAACTACTTAAATATTCTTAAAATAATTATTGTTCAATATTAAATATGACATCAATAGATTATTAATTGTATTTTGAAACATTTTTAATAATGGATTAAATATATCGCTAGTAACACCGGTTTAGTGTATTTTATTAGTCTATGATAATTTACCGATACCGTACCGTTACCGTACCGAAACTTCGGTATACTGAAATGCGGTATACCGAAACTTCGGTAAGGTAACGGTATATAAATTTTGTATACCGAAAGTTTTGGTACGGCAAAGGTATGAGAGAAAATATTCGGTATATCGTACCGAACCACCACTAGGTAGGATGGCTTCCTCGATTTCACAGTGCATTTAAAATTGAAGGCAACGACTGAACATCAACGTATGCTGGAAAATACTACGTACGACGTATGTTTTAGGGGGCGTTTGGCACTGATTCTGTTTTAAAAACAGAAGCAGAATCAGTTTTCAGAAGCTGGTACCTCCCAACTTCTAAAAAAATTGATTATGAGAGTAAATTAGAGCTCCAGAAGTGCTTCTGGAATTTTACCCAAACACTCCAGCTTCTGCTTCTGCTCCCTGAAGGAGCAGAATCAGTTTTGAGAATCAGATCCAAACACCCCCTTAATTGTTAGGGAAGGAGTGAACTTCGTTTGGAGAATTAAAAAACGGGGGTGGGTTTTTCTAAATTATGGGTACTTAATAGGGAGTAATTTAAAAAGTATGAGGATATTTTTGTCAATTCAAGTGAAAACAATTTCATTATCTAACACTTCATTTTTTAAACTCTCTCAAACAAGATAAGTTTATGTTTTAAACTTACACTTACCAACCTTTCCGAGCCCCTGCCAACACATACTAACACTTCCATTATTAACACTCATCAACACTCCATCCAAACAGGCAGGGGTGGAGACAGGGAGGGGCTGGAGGGAGGCTCGGCCCCTGCAAGAAAAAAATTCTCAAGTATAAATTATGTATAAATACTTTTAATCTATAGAAAATATGTTGATATTTTAAACTTTGGCCTCTGCGATGTAAAATTTATAAGGGAACCGACCCCCTCAACCATAAATTTCTGGCTCCGCCACTGCAAACAGGTAGTTACCCTCAAACGATATACTCCACATAAATGTGCTCAATCAATGAACTTGGTCCTATGTTGGGAGTCTCTAAGGGTCTCTTTACTTTCGACTTAATGAGTTGAATAGAACTGGTGACTTAGAGCATGTTTGATAAACATAAGTTTCTATCTTCTAACTTTTGCACTATTCAAAAAGTCTCTAAAAGGTTCTAGTTGTATGTTTGACATGACAACTTTTTAGAGTTTTTCAAAAATTAAAAGATCATTTTTAAATGATACAGAGAGTAGCATCTAAGAAAAGCTCGTGACTTTTAGTATTAGTTAGTTCTAACAGTTTGTATATCAAACCGAATTAAATCAAACAGTCAGTTTTTTACCAAACAGTTTCCACCTTTTCTTTTTAAGATTTTTTTAGTTATTAAAAACTAACAATTACTAAAAAGTTCACAAAAAGTATCTTTTCAGCTAGTTGTGTCAAACATACTCTTGATCTTACGTAGTAGTGTTTTCTTACAACTTAATTTTTAATGCAACTTATTCGCCCAGTCAAGTTGTGACTTATTCTTAAACGTGAAGTTATATGGTCGAGTTTCGTTTATTGGAGTCATATGCGATTTTTATTTGTTCTTGGGATGTTGATACACCATCTATTCTCGTGATTTTTTTTTTATTATTGTTGGTATACACTAATACATACACGGTGAGTTCTTGTCTTCCAAACACTGTTAATTGTTGATTCATTGTTTATTGTTTTTCCCAGGGCAGATTTTATTTGTAGTTAACGTAAGTAATCATTGCAATTTTTTGTGGCCACAGTGTTATTATTAGTTATAGGGAAAATTGTCAATTTGATTCTCGTACTTTCATGAAAAAGTCAATTAGATCTTCGTACTTTTAAAAAAATCAATCAAATCCCCGAACTGTGTAAACACGTTCAATTGAGTACAATTGTGGGTTACTTGCCACGTCAGCATATCGCCAGCTGACGTGACACACACATGGCGGTCCACGTTGTGTCACGTCATCAACAAATGGCTGACTGGATTTCCACATGTGTGCCCCGCTAGCAAAATTATTGTTGATTGGGCTTCCACATATGCGCCACATCAGTGGGTGATCTGCTGACATGGCAAGTAATCTGTAAATGGACTCAATTGAACGCTTTTATAAAGTTGGGGGATTTTATTGATCTTTTTAAAAGTTTGAGGACCTAATTGACTTTTTCATAAAATGGGGACCAAATTGACAATTTTCCCTTAGTTATACACATGCTCCGTGTCATTTTGTTTGCAATTCGTAGCGTGGAGAAGAAATAGATACGTAGTAGAACGTAATGGGGAACAAACATCATAGAGTAAAAGACAAATTTATGAGATGATATTGGTAATGATCAGTAGACAGAAGGGTAAATTGGGAATTTAATATAATTCAGACTATATTAAGCACACATAGTAAACAACATGTTATCGCAGTGTCACTTAATCCAAACAGACCTCTTAATGCAGACAGACGTCTGAATCCACACAGGACTTAATAAAAATTAAAGTAAACAGCCTTAGGAGTCTTGCCCTAAAATAAAAGCAAATTCTACTTGAGGGCTGTTCGAGTCAGGCGGCCTGACCGGACAGTCCCATGCGGCCTTTCCCGTTTGGGAGCCTTCCCAGTGGAATTTTTTGATGAAATGTTTTGAGCATGTTTCTCATCAAGTCTAGTTTATCCATACCAAATTTCAACTCAAAATTCGATCGGGAAGGCAGTCAAATAAATTCTTGAAACATACTAGACATTCTGCGCATATATAAAGTGCAGTATGTTTCAAGAATTTATTTGACTGCCTTCCCGGTCAAATTTTGAGCTGAAATTTGGTATGGATAAGCTAGACGTGATGAAGAACATGCTCACAAAATTTCATCAAAAAATTCCACCGGGAAGGCCCCAAAAGGGGAAGGCCGCACGGGCCTTCCAGTCAGGCCGACTTGACTCGAACGGGACTCAATTCTACCTATATTGCTACATATAATGTCATAATTACTCGAAAGTGTAAAAACCAATTGATGCTTTCAACTTTTTAAGCCACATGGTAATTTATTAATAAATAAATTATCAATGTTTTCATTAATAAATTGATACTTTTGGCAATAAGCGGATAGGAAACCAACATTTGCATGCTACTTACATTCCGTAATGTATGAATAGTTTTTTCATTAAGGGTTTGGTTAAGGAGTTTTGACATGAATATTAGTAAAATTTAGGAATTTGACAAAAAGAGACCTTTTTAAGTTTCCAAATATGTGACTAATGAAGACCTACTTTACTAAATTACCCTTTCTAGTGCTCGGCCCTGCATTAGTTCGCATAAGAGTACTCCATATTGCATCGGATAAGAGAGTACCACGGATAAGAGAGTACCAGATGTCTGCATTCTCTAACGACCATTAATGCTTCTTTTATTTTAAAATTATTTCTCATATAGTATACTTCTTTTTTTAATCATCTCTAACCATTTATTCTTCTTTTTAATTTTTGTAAAGAACCATTAGTGCTTCTTTTTTTATTTTGAAATTATTTTTGAAGATAGTTGGATATGGAAATATAAGTGTATTAAATATTTAATCTATTATACTAAAATTTGTGTGAAAAAAGTCTTAATTAGTATTGTTTAAGTGATCATCGTCTCAGTTAATATCGCTCCAGTTACTACCAGTCTACCACCCCAGTTATTATATCTTCAGTGACCATCATATAGTTACTTTCACTCCAGTGACCAACATCCCAATTACTAAAACCCCACTTACTATCACTATAGTGACCATTTCCATCCAGTTACTACCACTTCATTGATCATCATCTCAACTACTACCATTCTATTGGGCACCGCTATAGTGACAAAAAAACAAAAATCCATTAGTGACCGAAATCATTAGTGATTAAAATCATTAGGGATAAAAATTCATCAGTGACCACCACCCGTTGAGCACCTGAGCAGTAACTACCACCAGTCATAGTGACCAACTTTATTGCCCATCATAGTGAACTCCCAACTAGTGACATTACCACCCATAGTGACCTGCCGCCCAGTAACCAACGTCATAGAGACCAACGCCAAAGTGACCACCGTGCTAGTGACTCATCAGCCAAAGTGACATAATCC